CCCCCCCCCCCCCCCAAACATCATCCTTTGCTCAAGCTTCCTGAAAGTAGTGGACATTTATCTTCCAAAGTCTGGAGACCCAGCTGCTGAGGAAGTGGTTACTACCAGGTTTCTATAGTCCACACACCGTCTCCATCACACATACAGTCTCTAATATAAGATATGATCGCAACCCTCTGGCTTCCCCAGGCCTGTGGTGAGCAGAGAGGAGGAGCTGGATCTCAGAAAGGGAAGAGGCAGACCATCGGACCTCCAAGACAACATACCTCTTCGGGGCCTGGGCTATTGGCCCCTGGGATTCTGACCTTGGATCTCTGGTCCAGTTGACACCTTGGGGGGATAATGCTAATCATATTCTAATTTCTATCCCTAATTACTCTATTCACCTGACTTTGTCTCCACTCTCCTACCCACTCTCAAACACACCAAAAGGCTGATCTTTCTCCCCAGCTCTGAATCTCCCTGGTCTCCAGGGCAGAGATTTTGGGTGATTCTCAATCTCCGTTTGTTCAGTGTGTCTTCCAGCCACCTTCCCTTTGCCTTGCTCTTCCTTATGTCAAGGGTATCTCTTGGACCCTGTATATCTTTGTTCCTGCAGCCCTTCTTGTGTCGGCATGTCTTGACATTTTTAAAAAATGTTTTTATTGATTTTTAGAGAGAGAGGAAGGGAGAGGGGTAGAGAGATAGAAACACCAGTGAGATGAGAAACCTCATTGTTCGGCTGCCTCCTACGAGCCCCCTACTGGGGAATGAGCCTGCAACGTGGCATGTGCCCTGACCTCTTTGCTCCTCGGTGGAGGCTCAACTGCTGAGCCAGACCGGCTGGGCTGCCTGTCTTCACATTTAGGGATCTTTTCCAGATTTCTCTCCCTACATTTTGGGATATCTATGTTCCCCTGGGACTTCTCCCGCTGGGACTATCCCAGGACAACAGTGAGGCCTCCTTGGAATGGAGAGAGGGAGTAGGACTTCCTTCCTACCCCATCCAGTGGCTACTGCAACCCAAGATGGGCAGGCAGTGTCAGGGCCACGGCCAGGTCGCTTCTCATTCAGGGCACAGGCGCGCCTGGTCGATGCCCCACGGTCTGCCCCCCTCCCAACTGCCCTTCTCCAGGCCCTCGCCCCCTCCGCCCTCCTGGAAAAGGCAAATTTGACATTTTTAAATCCCGAGCCTTAGAGGGATCGATGCGGCCCGGGGGCCCCACCCGGGGTCGATATTCCTGATTGGGAAGCGGCCTCAGCGCGGAGAGGGTGTAAATCATGCGAACTGGGAGCGGGAGCTCCGGGGGTGCAACCGCGTCCCGGGCACGTGGAGGCAGACAGGGTCCCGGCCTTGGGGCGGGGGTGGGGGGGAACCCCAGGCAATGGAAGGACAGTCTTAGAGACCCGGACAAGCCCGCCCA